TCCTTTCAACAGTTCCTGTTACAGTATAAGTTACAAAACAGTGAATGAGTATATTATTTAATGGAGTGCAGTGTCAGTCTTTACAGGAATATTCCACCCCCAAAAATTAAAATTCTCTAATTTACTCACCTTCATGACATTCCAGATGTATATGACTTTCTTTCTTGACATAAACACAAAGATTTTTAAGAAAATAATCCGTCTCTGAGAATCCACATAACACAAGTGAATTGTAGCCGTAAACGAAAACATTAGAAGCGTAAATGAAAACACTGGAAGCACAGATCAGTACAGATCAGCGAATGAAAGAAGAGAAAACATGCAGTGTATTAAAAACGATGTCAAAGATTTTGCCTGCATTAAAAAAAATGTCAGTTTCAAAGACATTTTATTCAGTTTCAATTTATATTTTCTTAAGTTTCTTGAAAAATTACATTCATTTTAATTGACACAAATGTAATTCCATACATTACCCCAACACTGCTATCAGGCCTATTGATACTGAAGTCTCTGGTTTCATTTTACAGTAAATAAAGCAGCATTGGAATGAAACGAAAGAAAGCGCGTCCGTCGGTGTGACACAAGAGACATGAAGGAAGCTCTGGATGAGCGGTCATTATTGCTGTTGGCGACACTTATCAAGGACTAAATGCATTCAAGTCTTGTCGGGGGATTCTGTTGATTGCACGATGAACGCCACCACTTTTCTCACTGACACGCCCCAAAAAACTTGGGGCTTAAAGAAAATTTTGAGTTTCCCACTCATAATTACGACTTTGTGGTGGTGTTCATGTGTGATCAACTCGTAACAGTGCTGGGTAGTAACTGATTAAATGTAATCTGGATTACACAATCAGATTCTAAAAATTAAATACTTTTAGATTATATTTTTTTAAATACTAATCAGACTAATTACTTATCAGAATCAGACTAATTACTTGTTGACATGATTATTTATGATTCACACAATGGCAATAAATTATTCATAACTTCCAACGGGGAGGGGCGGTGGGCAATCTGGAGACCTCTAGGGACAGGCCTACACGGGACGGACGGCCTTCAGGGTGGTACCCGTTCAGGGACCCATGGTGCAGCAGGCAGACTAGGGAGCCATGGCGGAACAGGGGTCCTCCCTGGGCTTGACTCAGAAACAGGGGTCCTCCCTGGGCTTGACTCAGGAACAGGGGTCCTCCCTGGGTTTGACTCTGGAACTGTGGCCCTCCCTGGGCTTGACTCTGGAACAGGGGTCCTCTGTGGGCTTGACTCTGGAACAGGGGTCCTCCCTGGGCTTGACTCTGAAACTGTGGCCCTCCCTGGGCTTGACTCTGGAACTGTGGCCCTCCCTGGGATTGACTCTGGAACTGTGGCCCTTCCTGGGCTGGATGTAGGAACAGGGTCTTTCTCTAGGCTTGACTTGGGGACTGGAGCCCTCTTTGGGCTGGACGTGGGAACTTGAGCGGACTCGGGGGCTCGAACTAACAGTCCTTTTCTCTGCATTCTCCTCCTTTGAGCAGAGGTGAAGGAGACAGCTGCTGTCAGCTGAGGGCTTGGGAGTGAATTGGTCGGCGGCCTTGACAATGGAACGGCCTGCGGAGGGTCTCCCTGGGCTTGACTCTGGAACTGTGGCCCTCCCTGGGCTTGACTCTGGAACTGTGGCCCTCCCTGGGATTGACTCTGGAACTGTGGCCCTTCCTGGGCTGGATGTAGGAACAGGGTCTTTCTCTAGGCTTGACTTGGGGACTGGAGCCCTCTTTGGGCTGGACGTGGGAACTTGAGCGGACTCGGGGGCTCGAACTAACAGTCCTTTTCTCTGCATTCTCCTCCTTTGAGCAGAGGTGAAGGAGACAGCTGCTGTCAGCTGAGGGCTTGGGAGTGAATTGGTCGGCGGCCTTGACAATGGAACGGCCTGCGGAGGGTCTCCCTGGGCTTGACTCTGGAACTGTGGCACTCCCTGGGCTTGACTCTGGAACTGTGGCCCTCCCTGGGCTTGACTCTGGAACTGTGGCCCTCCCTGGGCTTGACTCTGGAACTGTGGCCCTCCCTGGGCTTGACTCTGGAACAGGGGTACTCCCTGGGCTTGACTCTGGAACAGGGGTCCTCCCTGGGCTTGACTCTGAAACTGTGGCCCTCCCTGGGCTTGACTCTGGAACAGGGGTCCTCCCTGGGCTTGACTCTGGAACTGTGGCCCTCCCTGGGCTTGACTCTGGAACAGGGGTCCTCCCTGGGCTTGACTCTGGAACAGGGGTCCTCCCTGGGCTTGACTCTGAAACTGTGGCCCTCCCTGGGCTTGACTCTGGAACTGTGGCCCTCCCTGGGCTTGACTCTGGAACTGTGGCCCTCCCTGGGCTTGACTCTGGAACAGGGGTACTCCCTGGGCTTGACTCTGGAACAGGGGTCCTCCCTGGGCTTGACTCTGAAACTGTGGCCCTCCCTGGGCTTGACTCTGAAACTGTGGCCCTCCCTGGGCTTGACTCTGGAACTGTGGCCCTCCCTGGGCTTGACTCTGGAACAGGGGTCTTCCCTGGTCTTGACTCTGGAACAGGGGCCCTCTCTGGGCTGGACGTAGGAACAGGGTCTTTCTCTAGGCTTGACTTGGGGACTGGAGCCCTCTTTGGGCTGGACATGGGAACTGTAGCGGACTCAGGGGCTGGAGCTGACACTGGAGCGGACTCAGGGGCTCGAACTAACAGTCCTTTTCTCCGCATTCTCCTCCTTTGAGCAGAGGTGAAGGAGACAGCTGCTGTCAGCTGAGGGCTTGGGAGTGAATTGGTCGGCGGCCTTAACAATGGAACGGCCTGCGAGCTTGACTGCGGAGCAGCCGGCGGGCGTGACAGGATTCTCACACTTTTTGTTAGCCATGAATATATTTGAAGTACTCCCTGAGATTTTAAGATAATAAGATAATTAGCCTAAAAAACACATGTGCATGCTCACTGTTCTTTGTTGGTTAATGGTGACATGACATGCAGGTAAACAAATAAAATATTTCATACTTTTTTTAGTAAGTGTTTTAATTTGTTGTAATTTTAAAATGATTTATTTTAGCTTTACATTTTATGATTTAATTGTTATCTTTTCATTAAACTCACGAACGCCCTGCTGCAGTAATGTAATGTTTAATGAAAGTGAAAGCAACCTGATGTGTAGCCAAGTATAGTGTCCAGCATCCGGGGAGCAGATGGGGGTTTGGTGTCTTTCTCAAGAACCTCAGTCGTGGTATTGAGAGTGGATAAGAGTGCTGGCCCCCACCTGCTGGTACCAAGACTCGAACCCACGACCTTTGGGTTACAAATCAGACTCTCAAACCATTAGGCCACGACTGCCCCTCATAAGTTACCACACATTTTAGGTAATGTAGGACTACTTTTTGACACACTTTATTTCAAATTGGAAATTTTTTTTTATTTTGAATAAATTTACCATCAATACAGACGTTGCATCTATATTGCTTCTCCACACTTCCTCGGAAACTCAAAGCGTCTGCTAAATGAGTAAATGTAAATGTGGACAGCATAACTGATTATTGAGTTACTTTATCATATTTTAGTACTTCAATTTATTACAGCTGTGTTCTTAACTGGTCTGAAAGGCAGGCTGTCACATGACTGACAGAGAGAGAGGAGGACAGTTACTCAACCTCTCCAGAATCTATACTGGTGAGATGTCCCTGTAAGCTGTCTTGCTTCCGCTAAGCTATCAAGGCATGTTCCCAAAATTGCCATTAGGGTGCTCTAAAACACGGAAATTGGATTTCTATGTAGAATTTATTATATGAACATGAATGTACTTACTACATTATGTACATAATTTGTTTGGCCGTTGAGGGTCATATTGAGGGTCATACATATGGCTGTCCCCCCACTTTTAAAATGCCTGCTATGCCCCTGCTCTGGGCTTGTATTTAAAATCCTATTTACGAGCATAGGCCTATTTAATGCACTTCATGTTGTTAGTAACAATAATTGAAATATATTTTCTTTTCCTTTTTATATATCAATATGGCACAAGGTTATTTTATTTAAATCAACAAGTTAGATCATAGGTAATCTAAAAGTAATCAAAAAGTTTACCTAAAATGTGTAATGTAACGTTACTAGCTACAATTTTTATCATGTAATTTGGAATCAGTACCAAACTACAATTTGTAAGTAATCTACCCAGCTCTGCTCGTAAATATGATTTTTTTGACTGGAATTAAATATAAGCCCAGAGTTTCCGAGTTTGGGGAGTGTGGATAAATGTCTGTATTGATGGTAAATTTATTAAAAATAATTAAACAAGTTTTTCCATTTGAAATTGAGTCAAAAAGTAGTCTGATTACATTACCAAAAATGTGTGATGTAATTATATAACATCACACATTTTTGGTAATGTGTGATGTAATTATATAACGATTAAGTACCTACGTATAACTTACCGGCTTGTAAATACAAACTTCCCAGAAAGACTTGAAAGCATGGTAACTGACTTTGGGAAAGTTGCGACGGACCAATCAGAATCAAGCATTTCAGTGAGCCTTTTCAAAAAGGTTTACCCAACCCCGATCTCAACCCCGACCTCCGCGAGACGCGTCATTTGGTGTCACTTCCATGGTGGCTACCTTATGTCAAAATTAAAAACAGACTTTACATTCATATAACAAGTTTATATAGCTGGAATATATTTATATAACCTAGACATAATGTGCTCAACATGTGAACGAACCAGGTTAACCAATGCAGACTGAAAAACCCCAAGACTTGTTTTGGACTCTGACCCCGTTGTCTAGCCATCACTATTCAGCCCTTGACAAAGTCACTCAGATCTTTTTGCTTGTCCATTTTTTCCTGTATCCAAAACATGAAAAATTCAAAAACTGAATGTGTCTCAAAGCAGATGACGTTACCAGAAGAACTGCTGACGGTTTTGTTCCTCAGTGAAGTTCATCTTCAGATGTTTCCACCAGTGAGATGGAAAAAAATATGGTGGAAGATATGAAAAATATATATTTTCTACAGATCGACAAATTCACACTCACAGATCAGTGGAACCAGCTCAGTAAAGACCCGTTTCCCATCTACACAGCGATCGACAAGCACTGCAAAGAGGAGAAGGAGAAGGGAGGAGGTCTGTGTTGGTGTGTGTAAGAGAAAGAAACAGTGTTATTGTGCTCGTGTCAGCTGTTATATGGTGGTGTTTTCTGTCTGCAGACACAGAAGACCCCTGGTTTGAGATCAGTCCACATGAAGCAGGTTATTCTCTCACTGGAGCGTTTGTGGGAACATCCAGCTTCGGCAGCCAGTTTCACAATGGCTCGAAGAAAAAACCTCAGCCTGAAACGGATATGCTGTACCTGCAAGGTAACAAACTCTGTCACAAGAGAGTTCATTAATATTTGCAATATCAATGTACACTAAACGTATAATATTTGTATCAAAGCTGAAATTCGAACATTACAATTAGAAATGTTAAAAATAATTGAAAGCAGTTTTAACAGCATGTTTTTCAACATAAAACTTCTCAATACACAGTGATTTAAATAAAAAATCATTTCTACACTGAAGAATTTAAGAGCTCAAATTTGACAAACCATCCATTAAGACTTGTATTATAGCCTAATTTTTTGTTTCCTTTATTGTAAAGACTTTTAAATGTATTTTCTGCAGCTCTGTGTGGCAGCGCTTTAGCTGATCGAGACGAGATCTTTAAATTCCTCTGGGAAAAAATAAAAGGTGAAGCTGCATTTGAAGATTCAGTTCTGCCTAGAGTTGACAGTCATTTCAAATTCATGTGAACCCTGATTACATTTGATACCCCCCCCAGATTTCTTTAAAGATTTAACACCTCTAATAGAATCGGACACGTTTGAGGAAATGAGGAAAGGTACAGTATTCTTTGTATTTCTGCATTTATTTGTAGATATGTTTTATCTTTTGTGTCTACTGATCTGTTCATGCTTCCCACTGAGAAATGAAATGTCAAGGTGAAAAATAAAAGATGAAAATTGTTACCAAACAGATCATGAGAATGCTGTGTGTACGTTTGCTTGTTCTTGTGGGAAACTCCTGATATCTGAAGATAATGAATTTGGGGATGTAAAGCACTTACATTCAAGACATTCTGCAGTGTGTTCATGTTTGTTCAATGTGTGTTTTCTTCAAAAGATCCAAAAGCTCCACCTGCATACAAGTGTTACCAGGTGCTCACGGATCTTGTGGACGTGAATCTCGCCGTTTTAAATGGCAAAGATTATTTTGCTCTTGAGCAATCCATCAGAAAAACCCTGAAAGGTGAGCTAAAGTCTGCTGGAATTTATTTAGAGAAGTCTAGTTATTTTAGTTCATTTTAATCACTACAGTGAAGTTAGTTTGTATGAATTTGCATGTCCCTGTGATGTTATGTTTAGGGGTGGGCCTTCATGCTTTTTTTCTAAAAACATATTTGAAAAATAAGTTGTTTTAACTTGTACAAATTCAAGGTCTTTTGGCTCAGCAAAATTTCAACAGAAGAACAAGAAAAACCTGTTATGTTTAGGGGTGGGCCTTCATGCTTTTTTTCTAAAAACATATTTGAAAATAAGTTGTTTTAACTTGTAGAAATTCAAGGTCTTTTGGCTCAGCAAAATTTCAACAGAAGAACAAGAAAAACTAATCGATGGAACAGCAAAACTGTATAAGGCAACATGCAAAAACATCTGTTTTGGCCAATAAAAACTGTAATTAACAGAAGATAGACAAAATAGAATTATACACTATTGATAATAGAGCTCAATAATGTATGTTTCCCTCATTTGCAGAGCTCAGTGGAAGCAAAAGTCACCTGATTTTTCAAGCGGGAAAAACTAACCTTGCTACAAAATTTGATGTGAAGAAATTCACTGAGGGTGTATGTAAGGATTTGAGTCGTTTGTTCAGTTCGGAGTCTTTTGGTAAGTTGAATCGTCTGTACAACTGATTTGTAATATACTTATTTTTTGATTTTCTATCCAGATTAATGCATAAACCGAGAAGTGCTTTACTCTAAGATTCAATAAAGCTTCAGTAAAGAGGACGCTGAGGCCGAGTCTGAATCCATGTGCGGGAGTTTATTGAGGACAATTTCAGTAAACAGGAACCTCAAGGCAGGCAGAGGGTCAAAACCAGTATAACAGTCCAATTTAACAACACTTACAGGGGAATCCAGAAGGCTAAAGTGAGCAGGCAGACAAAAGGTCCAAACACATACATCCGTCCAATCAGGCAAACTAAGCAGGTAAACAGGCAGAATCTTATATGGAACAGGCAGTCAGAATATACAGCGAAAACGCTTGGTAAGGCAGGTTAACTGGCAATACTTCGCAATGAGCATGAGCACAGTCTCTAGCTATAAAGCAACCAAACAGGAAATGAGAGTAGAGGAAGCAGAGGGAGTGGAACACAGTCAGTACTCGGCTTGGCTGGCTTGGCATTACAGCTTCGAATTTGCAACAAAACAGGTTTTAGCAGACTGATGCCATAGAAGAACCTTTGCTTTAGACAACCAATTAAGTATGATTGGTTACACTTTACTTGAAGGGGTGTGCATAAGACTGACATGACACCTTCATAATCATGACATGACACCTACATAATCATGACATGACACATGTCATGAATATGAAGGGTTTCTATGCATGTTTATGACAACTGTCATTAAGTGTCATTCGCTCAGTTATGTAATTTTTAATGCAAAGATGACATTGTTTGAGATGTCTTTGTTATGGGCTATGGTTAGGGGTAAGGGTAGGGGTAGGGTTAGGTTAGGGTTAGGTCAAATAATGTCATATTTGCATTAAAAATGACATAACTGAGCGAATGACACTTAATGACAGTTGTCATAAACATGCATAAAACCTCCTTCATATTCATGACATGTGTCACGTCATGATTATGAAGGTGTCATGTCAGTCTTATGCACACCCCTTCAAGTAAAGTGTTACCGTATGATTTAAGGCCAAATTAATAAATCAATAAATTAATTAAATAAAAATCATGAATATTTAAAGGGGCAGTTCACCCAAAAATGAAAATCTGTCTTCATTTAATCACACTTGCAAACCCATAAGACTTTCATTTATCTTCCAAGCACAAATTAAAATAATTTATTAAAAGCTGTGATATTTCTGTCTGTTGACCCAAATCTTTGACACTTCAAAACATTCATAAAGAATTGTAAAAAAAAAAACACATGTCTCAATTATCGTATTTTCATAATCATTGAAAGCCGAAATTTAAACTAAAATTTGAATAATCACACAGCCCTACTTTAAAGCATAAAGATAATAAAACATCAAAAATCATCTCCAAAGAATCATATAGTCAACTGAAAAACAATATACAGAATATAAAACAGTATCAGAAATTAGGAACCATTTACTATATTTAAGAACCACTGTGTATTTGTATTTCAGATCTTGTCTTGAGCATTTGTATATGCATGGCTCAGTGGATCTGGGGCAGGCATTATAACTTCCTCCACAAAATGACAGGTGAGAACAGACCTGCTATTAACTAGAAATTCAATGTGAATAATATAATATACAGACTCATTTCATGTTTTGGTCCCTCAGATGAAACCGTGCCTTCTACTCTTCTGAAAAGTGAGAAGAGAGACTATGAAGACGCCGGACTGTTGCTGAACTCACCCTACTTCTCAGTGCTGAGAGAAGAACGAGACATTGACCTCATCATTTCCCTGGATTTCAGTGGAGGCGATCCTTTCAAGGTATTATACACATTTATAAGATGACATACTCTAATAAAAGTTAAAGGTTTAGTTCACTCCCCAGTGAAAACTCTTCCCAGTTCCAAGCCCACAAGACTTTGGTTAATCTCTGGAACATAAATGAAGATAATTTTAATGAAATCTGAGAGAATTTGATCCCTCCGTTGAAAGTCTGTTCACCCAAAACTCTGACGCTATGCTTCAAAATGTTCACAAATAGATCATAAAATAAGTCCATATGATTTCAAATTGTTAAATCAAAGTCACTTTACATGATGAAGAGATTAATTTCAGCCAATCTCTTTAAACACATTTTGATGCATCAGAGTTTTGTGACATTCAGTTTATCTCCAGATTTAAAGGAAGATTGTGCTCTTCAGCTGCTTGTTATTTAGAAAAGCATTCAAAGTTTAATTCGCAGTTTAAGCATTCTGTCATGGAACGGTAAGGGAGCACCAGGGTCTGGGTCCAAATGCAGGTGAAGCTTAGATTTAATCAGAGGCGGACAGTAACTAAGTACATTTACTTGAGTATTGTACTTAAGTACACTTTTTGAGTATCTGTACTTTACTTGAGTATTATTCTTTCTGGGAACTTATGACTTTAACTTCACTACATTTGAAAGACAAATATTGTACTTTTCACTCCACTACATTTCTATCAAGTTCCTTGAAGTAGAAAGTCGTTACTACTGTATGTAGCAGCTTTGAAAGTCAGTGGGTGGTTTTTTTCTTCTCTAAAACATGACTTTCTTTTTTTCAGACAGTTTATCAGTAATCACTCTTGTAGGGCTAAATGAAGTGATTTCCCAGCATTTTTTGAACACTGACACTTTATTTAAAACAATTCAATAATAAGAAGTTAGTATTGTGGTATATATTAGACACAATATTGTCTGATTTAAGCTAAAATGTGTACGTGAAAATATTACCTATAAAGCCACAGAAGAACTGTTGTGCATCTCCTAGGGGTGTTAAATACTTTTTTTCCCCCATAGGTTTTTAACATTCTAAAAGCTCTTTATTCCAAAGATACTACAAGCTAGTCAGTGTATTCAGCAGGTGTAACGTATTCTAAGTTGCTTCAGAAGTATTGCAAGTATTACGTACAACAATAAAACAGTGCATTGACATAAAAAAGGAAATTTACTTTTGGTACTTAAGTACTTTTAAAAGCAAGTACTTCTGTACTTTTACTTAAGTAAAAATCTGTCTTTACAACTTTTACTTGTAATGGAGTTATATTTGACCAGCAGTATCTGTACTTTCACTCAAGTAATGGAGTTGAGTACTTTGTCCGCCTCTGGATTTAATGAACAGAAAGGCAGACAAAAAGAAACAAAAACAGATCAGGACGGATCAACAAAACTGAGAGAAGTTTTGTTGATCCCCAGGTGAGGGATACAAATTCGGCAACCAATGTGCTTGCATCAACCAACATTCAAACTACTACAATTACAATTCAGGCAGGTAGAGTGGTGGGAGTGTGGTGTATAAATAGTCCATGAAAATATTTTTTTTAAAAAGTGACGTGACATATGGCCAAGTATGGTGACCCATACTCAGAATTAGTGCTCTGCATTTACCCATCCAAAGTGCACACACACAGCAGTGAACACACACACACACCGTGAACACACACCCGGAGCAGTGGGCAGCCATTTATGCTGTGGCGCCCGGGGAGCAGTTGGGGGTTCGGTGCCTTGCTCAAGGGCACCTCAGTCGTGGTATTGAAGGTGGGAGAGAGCGCTGTACATTCACTCCCCCCACCTACAATTCTCTAACCATTAGGCCACGACTTCCCCACAAAGATGGCGACCTCTGGTGGTGAGCGGGAGAAACGCAGGGCCCGGACTCATGACAGAACCCCCCTCTCTAAGGAACGGCGTCCAGACGTTCCCAAGCACCCGACCAGGGGGACGGCAGAGCGGGGGCGGAGTAGGGGGAGGGATCGGGGTGCAAGGTCTGTGTGCTGGAGGGGGACCTGGGGACTGAGGCAGAGCCGGCGGGATGGGGACGCCTCCTCGGGGGAACTGTGAGCGGACACCGCTGCTTCTGGACCTTTGTGAGCAAACAACGCCACCTCGGGGGGAACTGTGAGTGGACACCACTGCCTCGAGAGATATGTGAGCGGACACCGCCGCTTCTGGAGCTTTGTGAGCGGACACTGCTGCCTCGAGGGGACTGTGAGCGGACACCGCCGCTTCGTGAAGGCCTGAAGCGAGCTCCACCGCCTCGGAGGAAACATCAGCTGGCACCGCCGTTTCAGGGGCTTTGCGAGCAGACCACGCCGCTCGCACCAACATCAGCGGGGGTTCCTGCATTCTGAACGCTGAATCTGAACCCGGATTCATGTTTACAGTTCGATGTTGCTCAATGGTCACATTGACATGCAGGTAAACAAATTAAATATTTATATTTTGAGTGTTCAAGTGTTTAAATTTATTTTACATTTTTTATTATTTAATGGTATTATATTTATGGTATGTTTAATAGTAATTTTAAAACAAGCTTGATAAAAAAAAGTAATCTAAAAGAATATATTACCTAATGAGCAACCCTAGATTACGTTACTAACGACAGTTTTTGTCATGTAATCTGTAATCAGTAATGGACTACAATTTGCAAGTAATCTACCCCACTCTGTTTGCGTCTTATCACATTTAAACAGATGTATACACACAAAATTAAATCAAATTAGTTCCCATTTTAGTGAGTATCCTCATAAGCACAGTCTTAACTGCGTTAAAATTATGAACGTAAACAGCTCCACAAGAAACCAGTAAGGCGTCAGATCCGTGCATTTGGTCTTAAAGTGACAGCAGCTTTATATACCTGCTACTGACTTGTGCCATTAACGTTAATTAAAAACAAAAGAAAAAAATCTATCTGCTCAAATCTGCTCTTGACTGAACTTCTCTAGCTTTAATAAGGGTGAATCTATATTTAATTTACACATTATAGTATTTGAATACTACTGATGTGTGACAGCTACCATGTCTGCAGAGACAGAGACCCCAAACTTGATAGGCCTAGAATACAATATCATGACACCAGTACTACTATTAGACCTACCTGAAAAACTTAAAAGCACTGATTACTTCATTTGTATCTTTGTTCTATTGCATTTATTTGTGCTATTGCTTGTTTTACTAATGACTGTTTACTTGTATTTAATATTATTAAAATACTAAAAATATATATTTATTTTTTTATGGTGGGGCCAGTGAAATTTTGGTAGGGCAATAATTGAACCAGTATGAAAACTCCCTAGCATTTAGCCCTGTACATAGAGCCCCTGTCAAGATCTGCCCGTTTTGTTATAAAATAAAGTTACCAAAAAAAATAAAATAATGTTTAAACTCCAACCCACCTTACATCTCAAAGCTGGAGCTGGGCCGGATGAACAGACTTTCAATGGAGGGACAGAAATCTCATTAAACTTCATTCAAATATCTTCATTTGCATTCCAGAGATGAACGAAAGTCTTATGGGTCTTATGGCTAGAAATCATAATTTACTCCCGTCATGTTGTTTCATATTACTTTCATAAATTACTCGAATTACTTCATTAGAAGACAACAGGAGATTTAAAAAAATATATATAAAATTTCTTGTGACCACCAGAGTTTAAAACCATTGACAGATAATTACAAATAGTGCAAACAGGTAAAAAGCAAGAAAGAAATCCAATTAAACTCAAGTGCATCTGCTTTCATTTAAACCATATTTACCTAGAGAGCATCCGCTAGCATTCATATTCATCACAACCTGACAATTACAGTAAATAACAAATTAAAATTTCAAATGAAATGTTTTTCTAGCCCTTTTAATGAAGTGATACTGCTATGCTTTTCCATTGCAGACAGTGAAGGAAACTCACAAACTGTGTGAGGAACTAAACATCCCTTTCCCTGAAGTCAACGTTCCCAGTGAAAAGGCAAAGAAACCGAAGGACTTCTATGTGTTCAAAGGCAAAAACGCTCCAACCGTGATTCACATCCCTCTGTTTAATGTGGTCAACTGTGGAGGCAAGTCCAGATTGTCTAGTTGAATAAAACTGAAATATTAGCTATGTTCTCATTTAAGTGTTCTACTCTTTCTTCAGATAATATTGAGGCCTGGAGGAGCAATTATGGGACCTTTCAAGGTTCTTACAGCGCTGAGATGATCACTGATCTTATGGACGTCGCTGGAAAAAACATCTCAAACAACAGAGAGAAACTGCTGGAGCAGATTCAAGCAGTCACTGAGCAAAAAAGACAACTGATGACAATCTGAATACCAGTGGCACGCAGCACTCTGAAATTAAGTCCTTACTGTTTGATTAATTTTTAAAAAAAATGTAAATTCATGTTCCAGTTACACTTAATGTCGACACATTTTTCAGGTTAAATAAACATTACTTATACTATCAGAAAAAAATGAACTACTAACTAGATAACTAATGCTCTGTTTATTAAAATGGAAGATACATTTCAAGTTAGTGCCTTTTAAGCATTTATACATTTATTCCAAAATAGTAACTACAAGAACTATAAGAAATTTCATAGTCATGCACATTTGATTTGTTAACCGATGTTAAGCTGTTCTTTTTAATGGTCAACTTATTTTGGACTGCCAACCTTTATTTCACCAAGCTGATATGATTTCTCACTAAAACACCCACACAGATTATGTTTTCTAGTCATTTCAAGTCTGAATGTGATGTGACATAAAAGTGACATCAAAATGAGTTGTTGGCTTACCTTTTAATCAGGCTTCTCATTAACACCATTATTTGTTCATTCAGACAGATTTGCAGAAGCATAACGTGCACGGAATTCAGAGGCGGGGTTTAACAGTGTAATAGGCCAATCACAGCGTGATGGAGGCACCTTTTTGTTTAATGTTTTTGCACGTTTTTTAAAATGTTTTTGCATGTTTCAGTCTGTTCCGTCATGCTTCACTTTCATTAAGCAATAAATAGATAATCATTAATAATCAAATAAGCCGTAACACAGATGTGATTACAATTACGATTGATGATTAAAATACTGTATTGCTTTGGCTCAGTTCCAATAAACTAATAAAAAGGTTTTGTCCTGGTCATTTGATTTCAAACAGCACAAATGCTCAATATTAATCAAAGTGGTAGTTGTTGTCCTGGATGCTGATTGGACAATCCAGAGCATAGAAAAGATCATTTTATATCTTTTTTTTTTCTAGTATTTTGGACAGACAAATTTTCTAAGTAATTATCAGATCTGAGAACTTCCTTTTTAAGTCTGTTTTTACAAGCAAGTTACTTGTTTTCTAACAAGTAGCCCCGCCCAAAACCCACCCCATTGGTCGAATCAATAATGCCATTCAAGCAAAAAGACTACAATTTGGTTTGATGCAGTGGTGCAGACATTTAAAAAAGAAGAAGAAGAAAAGGAAATCAGTCTAGAATAAAAAAATCACAATTTGAGCAAACTGAAACTCTGGAATCTGAATCAGAGAGGGAATCATTTGAATCTGAATTTCAACCTTATAATATTACAACATGTGCTGAAGATGATGCTGTGATGATAATGTATTTCATATAATGGATGTATAGATGTTTTGATGATGATGAAGAGCTGTGTTATTGATTGTTTACATGCTGCATCACGTGTCATGTGTGTTGTTGTGATATAAACGCACCTCGCAGGCCGGGATTGTCATCTTTAGATCTGATGTTTAGTATTTTCTCTCGTTTTCTGCTCAGTGTGGACAACACGAGTCTCTGTCTGAAGCAGCTGCAGCCCTCAAACTCCATGATGTGAGGAACACACGTGTTTCTGCAGCGCACTGGACTCAAAAAGACGGAGCACTCACATTATGTGTTACTTATGAATGAGAGAAAGTGTAATGCCCAATATGGCGGAATACTCCCGTCTTTAAAATAAAGGAGCCAATCGGTAGAAGCTCCGGTTGGTATAAAAACAGTCAGTGTTGTGAGACGCGCTTAGGACCGCACATGTGCATTTGCTGGTCTAGCCTGAAAACTACGTTTTTTAAAACGCCATATGATCATAAGAAACCAAATTTATTTTCAAATTGAATTTCAAATATGAAATTTAATCTAAGGTGAATCGCTTTGGAATATTTGATTTTCCCCCATTCAATTAGATGCCCGAGAGGCGTTTCAAAGATGGCCGCCGAGTGAATTTTTTAATTTTTTAATTATGCTTCCAATTAACACACAAATAAGGTACAAACTCAATTTCTGAATTTAACAACACTTGATCAGACTTAGGTTGAGCATAGCCCATAACAAAACACAAAAATCACAAAAAAAGAAAATCTCTTTGTTTTCCAGACAAATACCAAACCTAATTACCTTCTCAGCGAGGGGTGGGAGTTCAACCTCCCTAGACCATAACCAGTTCCGCACATCTCTCCAAAAGGGTTGCACCATATCACAACAAAAGAAAACATGCTCTAAATTTTCTATATTTGTTTCACAAAAAACACAATGATTCACCTCAAAATTTAATTTTAATTTTAAAAATTCATTTGGTGGGATAAATCTCATTTAATATTTTGAAGTTCACCTCCTTAGCTTTAGGGGGGAGGGGAAAAGACAGATCATTTTGTCGTATCAAAATCTTTAAGCATGTATTCCCGTCTAATAGAGTTTGGGTAATAAGCCTTAAAAAAAATCCCTAATGTACTTTTTTTATCACAAAAATCGCAACCTTCTAAGGAGAGCTGTCTAGATATGGGCCGTTATATGTATTCCATACTGTAATGTCGGTGCATCTGCACTGCAACTGTAGTTATATACATGTACACTCTAAAAAATGCTGGGTTAAATACAACCCAGTACTGGGTAAAATAGGGACAAACCCAGCAATTGGGTTGTTTTGACCCAGCGGTTGGGTTACTACCCAGAAGGTTGGGTTAAACATTTAAACATTTAACCCAACCGCTGGGTCAAAAAAATTCATTTTTTAGAGTGTATGACTAATATATATCTTCAGTAGACTTCAGAAGATGCTTTTGTTAAACTTACACAATACAACAAGACAAAACCGTTAGCTAACAAGGCATTTAAAAGGTACCTTAGTTTAAAAACTTGTAATATTGAGTTAATACATAGGCTACACTTTAAAAAATGCTGGGTTGTTTCAACCCAACTTTGGGTCAAATATGGACTACCCCAACTTTTGGGTTAAAAATTTTATGTAAAAATTTAACCCAACAGTTGGGTGTGTCCATATTTGACCCAAAGTTGGGTTGAAACAACCCAGCATTTTTTAGAGTGTATTAAAAACACAAACCGACACATTCTAAGCTGTGAAAGTTAACCCAGTTTCTTCAGGAATTTAAATTTAGGCAGTTTTCACAACCAGATGCTGCGCAATGTTGTTCATCTTGAAACCAAAGTCCCTTGAAGGGTATTCTATGGTCTTTGTTGAAACTCATTGATTTTTTTTAATAGACCGTTCCAAGATGGCGGACGTGTCTGGAGCAGTTGAATGTAGCATCTATACATATCTATGGCTCCAAAGTCCAGCTTTCTCAGCTTGGACACCATAGAATAGAGATTCTCCAGAAACACGTGCGTCTGCTCACATCGTGGAGTTTGTAATTATTTTACAATAATGAGCATTTGTGCTGTTTGAAATCAAATGACTAGGACAAAACCTTATTTTTAGAAAACAGTTTATTAATTCATTGAAACAGAAGCATGCATATTTGTCTGTGGTATGGTTGATTTGATTATTAATGATAATCTATTTGCTTAATGAAAGTCAAGCATTAAGGAACAGACTGAAATGTACAGAACAGTGTTTAACATATTAAACAGAAAAGAGCTGTGATTGGCTGATAAACCCCGCCTCTCATTTCCATGCACGTTCTGCATCCTCAAATCGGTCTGAATAAACAAATTATGGTGTTAATGAGAAGCCTAATTAAAAGGTAAGTCAACAATTCAACTAGATGTATGTCACATCACATTCAGCCTTGAAATGACTTGAAAACACTTTTCTTTAGCGTTTTTAGAGAGAAATCAGCTTGGTGAAATAAAAGTACATGACACTTACAGTGTTTACCGAGCTTTGATGATCCAAAAATAATTTGACTACTGAAAAGAACAGCTGAATAGCAGTTAACAAATATGCATGGAATATGAAATTTCTTAGTTATTAGTTTGACATAAATGTAAAAAAGCGTGTAAAGCACTAAATTGATGAGAAATATACTTTGTTTTAATAAACAGAGCATTAGTTGGTGTTTTCTCCTTGATAGTGCAAGTAATGATCATTTATTTAACCTAAAAGATGTGTCAACATTAAGTGACAAAGTGTATGGAATTTACACACACACACACACACACAATTAAAAATCAAACAGTAAGGACTTATTCAACTCATTATTTGTGTAATTTTTGCTCAATGACTGCTTGAATCTGCTCCTTCAGTTTCTCTCTGTTGTTTGAGATGTTTTTTCCAGCGACCTCCATAAGATCAGTGATCTTCTCAGCGCTGTAAGAACCTTGAACGGTCCCATATTTGTTCCACCAGGCCTTAATATTATCTGAAGAAAGAGTAGAACACTTAAATGAGAACATAGTTCTCTAGTTCGTCTTTAATTGATTTTTCCGTACATTTCTGCCATATGTACATTAACTGACAGTCACCACTGATAAGCTACCACTAAATATAGTAGAACGTCTCAGGTTACTTATGTAACCATGGTTCCCTGAGTAGGGAACGAGACACTGCATCCTCTAGGGGTCGCTATGGGGAAACCTAGAGGACGCAGTTCGAAGTTCCCATGAAAGGGAACGTCTCAGGTTACTTATGTAACCATGGTTCCCTGAGTAGGGAACGAGACACTGCATTCTCTAGGTTTCCCCATAGCGACCCCTAGAGGACGCAGTTCGAAGTTCCCATTAAAGGGAAACGTAATTTTCTGTAAAGTTGCTTTGCAACTATTTGTATCGTGAAAAGCGTTATACAAATAAACATGAATTTAATTGAATAGTTGATGTTTCATTTTTATTTAACTAGACAATCTGAACTTGCCTCCACAGTTGACCACATTAAACAGAGGGATGTGAATCACGGTTGGAGCGTTTTGGCCTTTGAACACATAGAAGTCCTTTGGTTTCTTCACGTCTTCACTGGGAATGTTGACTTCAGGGAAAGGGATGTTTTGTTTCTTGCACATATCAGCAGCTCGTCTCACTGTCTGCAGTGGAAAAGCATAGCAGAATCACTTCATTAAAAGGGTAAGAGAAACATTTCAGTTGAAATGCAAGTTATTATTCACTGAAATCATAAGTTTGAGATGAATGGAAATGCTCTCTCCAGGTATTATTGATAAATATGGTTAAAATGAAATCATATGCATATTTGTTTTTAGCAGTTTAAATTATACACAGAATCTGTAATTGTCTGTAAAAACATTTTAAGGTAAGTGTGACCTCTGGTGGTCACGATGAGCATGATTATTCCTGTTGTTTTCTACTGAAGAAAGAAAGTCATACGGGTTTTAAACTGCATGGGGGGTGAGTAAATGATCATTTATAGGCGAACTATTCCTTTAACTTTTATTATAATATGTGCTATATGTGTGTATAATACCATGAAAGGATCGCCTTCACTGAAATCCAGGGAAATGATGAGGTCAATGTCTCGTTCTTCTCTCAGCACTGAGAAGTAGGGTGAGTTCAGCAACAGTCCGGCGTCTTCATAGTCTCTCTTCTTACTTTTCAGAAGAGTAGAAGGCACGGTTTTATCTGGAGGAATCACAGCATGAAATCAGTTTATTTTTCACATTAAATTGCAAATTTACAAACGGGTACATTTGTGGAGTCTCACCGTTCATGTTGTGGAGAAAGCCATATTTCCTTCCCCAGAGCCACTCAGCCATGCATATACAAGTCTTAATCCAAACATCTGTAAAACAAATGCACAGTGGATCTTAAATTTAGTAAAAGACATTGTTGTTGTTTTTTTTCATTCGGTATATTGTTTTTCAGCTGACTATGGTTTTTTTTTTGGAGATGAAAAAGGTTTATGATGTTTCATTAGTTTCTTCAGCTTTATGTTTTAAGAAAAGGTTATTTTGTGGCATCAATCTGTTTTGGAAGCTTTCAGAGTAAAGCACTTCTGAGTTCACACATTAATCTGGTTAGAAAATAAAAAAAGACATACATTGTACAAATCAAATAGATTGTTCAGACAATTCAACCTACTGAGAGGGCAGGAACTGAACCAACTACTCAAATTATTGCACACATCCTCAGTGTATTGCTTCATGTACAGTTTTGTAGCTAGTTTATCAGTGAGATCCAGTTTTTCTGTAGAAAAGATCAGCTTTTTGCCTCCACCGAGCTCTGTAAAAGATGGAAACATGTACGTTATTGAGTTCTAGTTATCTGACAACATATACTTCTGGTTTGTGTGTCTTGTGTTCATGAGATGTTTTTGCATGTTTAAATTTTCCAGTTTCATCCATTAGTTTGTTTTTCATGTTTTACTGTTTAAATGTTGCTGAAAAGGCAAGAGACCTTTTAATTACAGGAATGAAATATAGCCTCTTTATTTCAAAAGCATTTGAGATTAAACAAAAAGATATTGTTCTCAAATCAAAACTTGCATTTTGTCTTTCAGCTGACGAAAAAAGAAAAGAAAAAGAAAAGTCATCTAGAACAGTGTTTCCCAACCGGGGTGCCGTCTGTCGAGAGCAGGGGTGCCGTGTAAAAAATCATTTTTTAATATTTTTAAATTGCTAAAATGTTCAAAAAAGCATCTATTATATAATATCCATTTCTGATGTCGCCAATAATTAGAGATGCACCGAAATTTCGGCTGCCGAAAATTAGTTCAGCGCTCAGGTTTCACTTTCACGTGTGACGCTCTGCGTGTTATCCACTCTGTGTGTGTGTGCGCTCCGCTCAGTCGCTCCACTCATATACCGTTCATGCTCATCGGAACAGCAAAGTCCACTCAAACATTGAGCCGACAGGAAACATGGATGTAGTACAGTATTGTTTCTGTCTGCAATAGCCCTTCTGTGTTGTAATATGGTGTGGTATATGGGCAACTCTGGTAACGCTGCCCTCTCATTCATTGATCTGCTAACCGCTATGTTATGCTCACGTGTTCTGATAATAACAGCTTTCTAGGACTAAACATTATTTGGATAATTGGATGTTGTGGAGAAAGCCATATTTCCTTCCCCAGAGCCACTCAGCCATGCATATACAAGTCTTAATCCAAACTTCTGTAAAACAAATGCACAGTGGATCTTAAATTTAGTAAAAGACATTGTTGTTGTTTTTTTTCATTCGGTATATTGTTTTTCAGCTGACTATGGTTTTTTTTTTGGAGATGAAAAAGGTTTATGATGTTTCATTAGTTTCTTCAGCTTTATGTTTTAAGAAAAGGTTATTTTGTGGCATCAATCTGTTTTGGAAGCTTTCAGAGTAAAGCACTTCTGAGTTCACACATTAATCTGGTTAGAAAATAAAAAAAGACATACATTGTACAAATCAAATAGATTGTTCAGACAATTCAACCTACTGAGAGGGCAGGAACTGAACCAACTACTCAAATTATTGCACACATCCTCAGTGTATTGCTTCATGTACAGTTTTGTAGCTAGTTTATCAGTGAGATCCAGTTTTTCTGTAGAAAAGATCAGCTTTTTGCCTCCACCGAGCTCTGTAAAAGATGGAAACATGTACGTTATTGAGTTCTAGTTATCTGACAACATATACTTCTGGTTTGTGTGTCTTGTGTTCATGAGATGTTTTTGCATGTTTAAATTTTCCAGTTTCATCCATTAGTTTGTTTTTCATGTTTTACTGTTTAAATGTTGCTGAAAAGGCAAGAGACCTTTTAATTACAGGAATGAAATATAGCCTCTTTATTTCAAAAGCATTTGAGATTAAACAAAAAGATATTGTTCTCAAATCAAAACTTGCATTTTGTCTTTCAGCTGACGAAAAAAGAAAAGAAAAAGAAAAGTCATCTAGAACAGTGTTTCCCAACCGGGGTGCCGTCTGTCGAGAGCAGGGGTGCCGTGTAAAAAATCATTTTTTAATATTTTTAAATTGCTAAAATGTTCAAAAAAGCATCTATTATATAATATCCATTTCTGATGTCGCCAATAATTAGAGATGCACCGAAATTTCGGCTGCCGAAAATTAGTTCAGCGCTCAGGTTTCACTTTCACGTGTGACGCTCTGCGTGTTATCCACTCTGTGTGTGTGTGCGCTCCGCTCAGTCGCTCCACTCATATACCGTTCATGCTCATCGGAACAGCAAAGTCCACTCAAACATTGAGCCGACAGGAAACATGGATGTAGTACAGTATTGTTTCTGTCTGCAATAGCCCTACTGTGTTGTAACATGGTGTGGTATACTGCAGTTCTTCCCTGTTGTACCGAATATCTATACTTTTCAAATTATCATATCGAAGTTAGAAATTCAAATATTGTGAGAATTTATTTTGTATGGGTGCCACAAGTTTGTTAAAATTTCCAAAGGGTGCCGCCGCGACTAAAAAAAGGTTGGGAAACACTGATCTAGAACATTTAAATTCTGGATAATTACTGTCATTAATGTTAAATAACTGTTTTGATTGTGTCTATTCAGAAACTGATAACTTGACTCTTAAATGAACTAAACTAGTCTCCTCTAGTATGAATTGTAACACACTCTTACCGTTCAGTGTTTTTCTGATGGATTGATCAAGAGCAGAAGGATCTTTGCCATTCAAAACAGCGAGATTCATGTCCACAAGATCCATGAGCACCTGGTAACCCTTTTCTGCAGGTGGGGCTTTAGGATCTTTTGAAGAAAACACACATTGAACAAACATGAACACACTGCAGAATGTCTTGAATGTAAGTGCTTTACATGCCCAAATGCATGATCTTCAGATATCAGGAGTTTCCCACAAGAACAAGCAAACATACACATTTAAGATGCTTTGATTTGAAGCTAGAATGAATTTGATGACATTCTCATGATCTATTCGGTAACAATTTACAATAAGATGCATTAGCAATATGTTACAGTATTTATTAAGTTAGTAATGTTAGTAAAAATACAACAGTTCATTGTTAGCTCAGGTCCACTGGATAATATTAATAGATACAACTTTTGATTTTAATAATGTATTAGTAAATGTTGAAATTAACATGATAAAAAAAAGAAAGTATTTTTCATTTGAAAATTGAACTTTATTGTAAAATGTTACTACAGTATATATTTATACCTGGCAAGTGATATGGAATTAATTATGTGTCACTAACAGTCTTTAAAACCAGATTACAGATTATCATCATTATAGCTCATCTTTTATTTTTCACCTTTATAGAGTTTCACATTGTATTTGTCAGCAGGAAGCACGAACAGATCAGTAGACGAAAAAAAATCAAACCTATCCATAAATAAATGCAGCAATGCAAAGAAATGCTTTACCTTTCCCCATTTCCTCAAACATCTCCGATTGTATTAAAGCTAATGAAGGTTTAAAGAAATCTGGGGAAAAAGTCAAATATAATCAGAGTTCACATGATAATGAAATGACTGTCAACTTTAGGTAGAACTGAATCTTAAAATGCAGCTTCACCTTTTATTTTTTGCCAGATGTTCTTAATGTTCTCATCTCCATCAGCTAAAGCGCTGCCACACAGAGCTGCAGAAAATACATTTATGTTTAAAAGTGTTTACAATAAATTAAACGAAAACATAATTTTAAAACAAAATATGCAAAATAACGGTCTAATGCAGGGGTCTCCAAACTCGGTCCTGGAGGGCCGGTGTCCTGCAGAGTTTAGCTTCCTAATTAAACACACCTAAACCAGCTAATCAAGCTCTTACTAGCCATACTAGAAACTTCCAGGCAGGTGTGTTGGGGCAAGATGGAGCTGGTCTCTGCAGGACACCGGTTTTATGTTGTAAAACTCACTGTGCTGTTAAAATGATAAATGATTTTTAGCATTTCTATACCTGTAATTTTGCAAATATTAATACACTCTTATGTGACAGAGTTTGTTACCTTGCAGGTACAGCATGTCCATTTCATCCTGAGGTTTTTTCTTTGAGCCTTTGTCAAACTGGCTGCCGAAGCTGGAGGTTCCCACAAAAGCTCCAGTGAGAGAATAACCTGCTTCATGTGGACTGATCTCAAACCAGGAGTCTGCAGATATAAAACACAACCATATAACAACTGACACGAGCACATTAACTCACTTTAATTCTTTCAGACACCAACACAGACCTTTCTCATCCTTGCTCTGTTTGTATTGCTTGTCAATCGCTGTGTAGATGGGAAACGGGTCTTCACTGTGCTGGTTCTGCTTCTCTGTGAGTGTGTGTTCGTCAATCTGAAGAGAATATATATATATATATATATATATATATATATATATATAACGTCACCTGATCAAACCCGGAAAACAGGTTTCATCGCTTCCGCTAGTCAGAGAACGTGTTAACAGCTGTATTAAATAATGGCGATATCTATGGACTTATAAGGTAATCAGTCAAACTAGCGAGCTGTTTTTATTGTTGACCTAAATGTTAGTGAAAAGAATAAAAATAAAAAACTTTTAGATATCAATCCGCATATGTGATGGACATTGGTTATCATCATCTTTGGTATCTACTTTTAAGGCATCTAGAGTAAAACAGCTTCATATTTAACAAAGCATATGCAAAACGCTTGAACCGGAAGCGAAGAGACCTGTTTAACAGAATACAGAAGTCTGTCATAAACCCTATTGAAATAGCACAGACTAAAAGACCCATCTTGGGATTTAAGAATCTAAATCAATAACAATTTGTTAAAATGAAGATACATAAAACTAGGAGCATTACGCAGATATATTTGTTCGGTACACATGTATGCGTACAGAACCGAAAGACCCCTACAAAAAATTTCCGGTACGTTACAACGCTAATACTAAACATATGAAGTATAAGATGTTTTACCTGACTGCAGTGTATCTTGAGTTTCTGCAGGCTTTGAAAAACTTTTTGTCTCCTTTTGACTACAAACTCCTCCTCCTTCGTATGTAGAGAGTGTGCGATTCTCACCTCACTGCTCCAATGGAGATATAGACAGACATACTAATATTTCGTATATTTTTTAAATATTAGATTTGAATACAGTTAACTTAATTATGAACAGATCGCAGAATGATCCAGTTTGTAATAGACATTAACTGTGTTTATGCAGTACTTGCAGTATGTACAATTGCATTCGAAATTATTCAACCCCTGGAGACCGTAATAATTTACAAATGTAAGCTTTTCTAAAGATTCAGATTATTATTCTTTTTTTTTTTCTTTTTTTTTTAAATTGAATCTGTAACAGTTTAGTAGCAAATTAAAAGTGATAATGTCAATATATATACAGTATATAATGTAATGTTTTTGAGTTTTAGGATTTAATTTTTTTTGTAATACAGCTATGTCATAATTATTCAACCCCTATTCAAAATGCCTGTTTTTAAGTTGCTTATTTGTACAGTGTGTTACAAAATTGTGTCAAAACACAATTAAGCTTTATGGGCATTATGGATTCTTTTAATTATCAGGCCATTTTGGCAAGAATTGTGATTCAGTGCAGAGACTGAAGCTTGATGATCAATGGACTTTCTTGCAGGACAGCCTTCCCAAAGTACACGTCCAAATCTACTTATGCTTAGTTCAGGGATCAGTCTTAGAGTTGTTCAGTCTTCAGATTTAAATCTCATTGAAAATATTTAGTAGCAACGTGAAAACCAAAGATTATCAGTGATCTGGAAGCTTCTTCAAGTGAGGAATGGGTCAAGAATGCAGTTGAGAGGTGACAGAAGCTTCTAAGCACTTACAGGCAGCGTTTATTTGACTTTTGGTGGTTGAGTAATTCTGTATGTGAATGTTTAGAGCCAGTTAGAAGTTTTTCATTTTTCATCAACTTTACGTTCTCCGAATCACTCAAATGTGTGTTAATAAACTCTCTCTCTAATAGTTTACTGATGCTTTGGTTGAATTGTTTTCATAAAACTTTGTTCTCGGCAGGCGGCAGCAAAATGTCTCGCAGGTCAAGGGGGTTGAGTAATTATAATGAAGTGCACAGATTTCATCATTGCTGGAATCTGAGCAGGATTACAGACCTTTCCTGGAGTTTGGATGCACTCATCTGTTATACAAAAGAGTCAACATTCAAGTTACACAATCCTAACTCAAATATAAATTATTAAACCAGTGTTTTGTTTTTTCTTTAAATGTAAGTTGCTAACAGTGGTAGTTCTAGATTTAACTAAAGCAATAAGCCCGAAGAAGCTGTGGTTTACAGTGACTTTATAACAGTTAAGGGGTGTTGTTAAAACCCCCTTAGCTGTTATAAATTCACTGTAAGCCACGGCTTGTAAACCATCTATCCGTTTTATAATAGTGTGTAAGTCATTGGTATTGGCCAAGTTTTATTTAGAATTAAAGCTCATTATTGAAAAATGCTGGATTCACTTACATTACATATACATTTAGTCATTTAGCAGTCGCTTTTATCCAGAGCGACTTACAAATGAGGACAATAGAAGCAATCAAAACCAACATCATTTGTGATCCTGGAGCACAAAACCAGTCAAAAGGGTACATTTTTTTACACATTTGGTCGAGATACAACTATTTGAAAATCTGGAATCTGAGGGTGCAAAAAATATATAAATATTGAGAAAATCGCCTTTAAAGTTGTCCAAATGAAGTTCTCAGCAATGCATATTACTAATCAAACATTAAGATTTAATATATTTACAGTAGGAAATTTACAAAACATCTTCATGGAACATGATCTTAATATCCTAATGATTTTTGGCATAAAAGAAAAATCTATAATTTTGACCCATACAATGTATTGTTGGCTATTGCTACAAATATACCCCAGCGACTTAACACTGCTTTTGTGCTGCAGGGTCACATTTATGCTATTGTGCTGTCACTTAGAAATATTAAGACATTAATTCTAATTGCCTGTTGTAAAAGCTTTAAGACATATACTCACTATTCTTGTCTAGTCTTGAAAACTCCAGAGATTCACTGATAACAACAGCAGCCGTGTTCTCTCGGATCGGGCAGAAGATGCTCTTTTATAGGACTCTAGATCTCATCGTGAGGCGTGGAGATGATGAACGTGGACTTCAGACTACCGAAAAACAAAAGTTCTTCCATGGAATTTCTTTGTAGCTGGAGGGGAGGGTGGAGCGAAAAAGCTTAATGTGAAAATGAGGTAAACGTCAAGGTCAAGGTGGTATTTATTGTCTCCCTTAGGAGAAATTTGTTTTGGATAAGAGAACTGGTGTACATCAACACACAAAAAACAGAGAACATTAACAGCCAGTAATCTTATAATCCTACATCATAAAAACAGTACCGTGTAAATAATAAATTACTTTTCAACTCCACCCTCAGTTATCTGATATACCAACTATTATATAACAATTTTCCTTTTTCTTCCCTTTTAAACATCCTGCCGTAATTGCTCGATAATTAATTTAACAGACAATGGGACAAATTAATATTTATATTGATTATTCCTATATAATCGAACCCTGTATCTTCTGCCAGAATTCATCAGCACATACTCTGGGTACAACACATGCGAAGAGTCCAGTAAAATCTTGTTGGCCTGCTGGATCGTACACAAAAATAAATAAGCTTTCCATTGATGTATGGTTTGTTAGGATAGGACAACATTTGGTCGAGATACAACTATCTGAAAATCTGGAATCTGAGCGTGCAAAAAAATATAAATATTGAGAAAATCGCCTTTAAAGTTGTCCAAATGAAGTTCTTAGCAATGCATATTACTAATCAAACATTAAGATTTAATATATTTACAGTAGGAAATTTACAAAACATCTTCATGGAACATGATCTTAATATCCTAATGATTTTTGGCATAAAAGAAAAATCTTTAATTGTGACCCATACAATGTATTGTTGGCTATTGCTACAAATATCCCCCAGCGACTTAACACTGCTTTTGTGCTGCAGGGTCACATTTATGCTATTGTGCTGTCACTTAGAAATATTAAGACATTAATTCTAATTGCCTGTTGTAAAAGCTTTAAGACATATACTCACTATTCTTGTCTAGTCTTGAAAACTCCAGAGATTCACTGATAACAACAGCAGCCGTGTTCTCTCGGATCGGGCAGAAGATGCTCTTTTATAGGACTCTAGATCTCATCGTGAGGCGTGGAGATGATGAACGTGGACTTCAGACTACCGAAAAACAAAAGTTCTTCCATGGAATTTCTTTGTAGCTGGAGGGGAGGGTGGAGCGAAAAAGCTTAATGTGAAAATGAGGTAAACGTCAAGGTCAAGGTGGTATTTATTGTCTCCCTTAGGAGAAATTTGTTTTGGATAAGAGAACTGGTGTACATCAACACACAAAAAACAGAGAACATTAACAGCCAGTAATCTAATAATCCTACATCATAAAAACAGTACAGTGTAAATAATAAATTACTTTTCAACTCCACCCTCAGTTATCTGATATACCAACTATTATATAACAATTTTCCTTTTTCTTCCCTTTTAAACATCCTGCCGTAATTGCTCGATAATTAATTTAACAGACAATGGGACAAATTAATATTTATATTGATTATTCCTATATAATCGAACCCTGTATCTTCTGCCAGAATTCATCAGCACATACTCTGGGTACAACACATGCGAAGAGTCCAGTAAAATCTTGTTGGCCTGCTGGATCGTACACAAAAATTACTCAATTACTCAAAAAACTCAAAACTGTTGTAAAGAACTGAGTGTCTGTTTCCCCATAGTTTTTCCTGCCACTCTCACCAAGTTATTTATTTGAGCTCTCACTGTTAAACTCCTAAACCATACAATGACAAAAACTCGTTGCTTTATAAAAAAATTTGCATTATATTGCTACTCACTCCAAATGGTCGTAATCTAAAAAAATGTAGGCACTGATGAATTCTTGTACAAACACTTGACACCTGTGTGTGCCATTAAAGATCACTATCGATGTGGACCCTCAAATATTTATACGAACCAACCTGCTTAATATCTTGACCATGAACCACAACAGAGCTACTGTCCCCCACTGATCTGGGGTCTATGATGACCTCTTCCGTTTGCTTAACATTAATCTGCAAATAGTGGTCGTCACACCAGCCCACAAACCCTTCTACAACATCTTTGTAATCATTAATAATGAACTGGTTTGATTACTGACTGATGCTGTCATAAAGAGTAAATAAAAATGGTGAACTTACACAACCTTGTGGTGCCCCTGTACTACTTACTGCAACACCAGACAGCACTGAATTAAACTTCACCTGTTGTATCCTATTTATACAAATTTCTCCAATGTGAGATTGAATCGAGTTAAACGCAGAACTAAAATCAATAAAAAGAAACCTAGCATAAGCACCTGGACTCTCCAGATGCTTTAAAACAAGATGCGTTAATGTAGAAATTGCATTGTTAGTGCCACGATTACTTTTGTTTGCAAATTGGTACTGATCTAAGGATGGCTAAAATTTTTTGGAATTGGAATTATAATAGATTTTTTTCCAAAACCTCTGGTACTGTATGCATATCAGTTGAGAGCTGGAAAAGGCGATGCCAGGCTGGTGTGAGCTCCTCAACAAATGCCTTCAAAAGAAAGCATGACATACCATCTGGTCCTGTTGCCTTGCAAGAGCATAACGTTTTAAAAAACCCTTGTAACATCCCCTTGATATATTAATATGTGTGTTTGTTTAAAGCGTTTTTATTCTAATATG